GGAGAAGTGTGTTCGGCATGTGATATCGGAAGTCGAGACAAAGATGCGGAAGCTTGATAACATAATAGAGGCACAAATCGAGCCACTGATAATATAGATTGGTGAGGATGACACTACTGATGAAGAGACAAATTCATCCAGTTGAATAATTTTGATTAATATTCCTTTTGATTTTACATAAAATAAAAATTATCAATAAAGAAATAATTACGTCTCTTTTCATATAATGCTTGAGTGCGCTGTGAAAAATCCAATGAAAATATTTTTATATTACACATAATATCTGCATTTTTCCCGTTAAACGGCAAAACTTGTGCATTTCACTCGTTGTTATAAAAAAGTTTTCCTAAGTATGATACAGCATTTGCGATCAACAAGATGTTGGTTCTGAATACGACCCTGGCTAATTCTTGGAATTTTCAATATCACGTGCGTAGAGCATGTCAATGTTTATATCCACTCTATCTTGGATTTGAATTTGCTTCAGAAGGTATGTGCATTTTTTTCCTTAATAATGATATTTAATGGGTTGAAACAATTTTTATTGTTCATATACCCGCTATTTTCGCCTCTGAATCAAAATTATAAATATTGGTGATAAAGTTTGAGAGGTGGGACATTTTTTCGGAAAAAGTTCCTCCTCTTCAAGGATTTTTTCAATTTTCGGATATCTTCAATATTTTCCGAAATATTTACAAAAAACCAACCCCTCTTTTTTACTGAATTGTCCATAACTTTTGCAGTTTTCTCGAGCTCCTCTTGAAATTTTTCATTAACCCAGACTATATCTAAATTGTCAGCAGATATATGTAACGAGAACGCTCTGCGCAATATTGGATTATAGGCTGCTGATTTATGACTATTGAGATGGAAAGAATCACTTGAGATTGTAATCTCTGTATATCTCGGTTTTATGTATACATTGAACTCAAATTTATTATGATTATGTGTAATGGTCAGCTCTAAGAGATAAGTTTTATTCTCTGTCTCTGTTTCGAATGTGAACTGTATGTTTTTTCGAGACTCTTCATTGTATTCGTTTGGAAATATCTTTCTAGGAAAAAACTGCAGTAACTCTAGTTAGTTTTTGATCCATCAGCAGAATTATTCGACCAATAAAAATAGAGAACAATCCAACAAATTATATTCGTGATATCGTTCCACCATTTTACTTGGAGGTCAGGAACGTGCCGAAAAAACCCACACATCCAAAAAAAGTTGTGAAAACCACCACTGAGCTGGATAATTACAACATTGCCGAGTCTGCCAATAAATTGTTGATCGGAATTGAGTTTTTCCGGAGATCCCCTTTTTTGTAAGAATCAATGGGGTATATCGCCGATTATGCACTTCAATTAACCCCCTAATAGTATCTCTATCAGAGCCTGGCGGTTTTCGATTATTTTCCTCAGGAAAACGATATCCTCCACGAAAGAACGATCTGCTTTATTGCTCCTCTCATTATGTTTCCGGAAAAAATGGGAACGAACGAAAGAATTATTAGTTGGGATTACGAAGTTTCGAATGATGTGAGAAAAACTAGATTATGGTAACTAAGTGCCGGAGAAAAGGGGTAGTTTTCAAGGCGAAAAATAGGCAAAATGTTTCTGGTTTTCTACATCTGCATCTTCGTACATGAAATTGTGTGGTAAATGATTATATTCAAAATGAACTCTCTATGAAGATGTGTAATTCATGCATAGATGTTATCTTTAGACGGAAACTGAAAGAAGAGGCCCTCTATTAACAACTATTTTCAAATCAACATTACGAAAAAAATACTCACGTGGTTTATACTAATCAATTGATTAGTACTCTAGATATTGATGCCCTTCATATTTTTCCAAATTAAAACTTTTGGCTCTTGTCAGCCAATTTTTCTCTAAGCATCGAAACTGAACCAATGCGCTGCCGAAACAGCCAGAATAAATAATTAATCAGGCATTTAGCATTGATACCGTTAATGAATGGGCTACTCGACGTTGGTTATCCTTGGAAATGAACCCCGAAGAGGTCGACCTAGAGTAATTTAGGACGAAGTTTCTGCAACTGGTCCAAACAACTACAGCAGAGTCTGAAAATGATAAGGTCTATCGCTCTTTGTGTTCTAAACACATGAAGTATCAATTTTTCGACCATATATACTATTGAATTTTAAAAAACAGTTGACCATGTTTCACGAACCAAACGAATTATTCTCATCCTCACAGCACGGTTTCACTGAATCCACGAGTACAGAGTTAGCCCTTTGTGAATTTCAATCGATAATTGTTAGTGCTCTCGACAAGAAAAAATGTGTCATGGGCCTTTTCATAGATTTCCCACGTGCTTTTGATGGTGTAAGAGGGGTACCACATGATTTGGTAGGATCTTATCTCATACGTAGAAGGCAAAAAGTGAGAATTGGTCAATGCATGGGCGATGATTGTGATATTATGCGGGAAGTTCACCAGGGTTCGAATTTAGGCCCCTTTTTCCATGTTATTTTCTGACTATCTAATTTAGTTCGTAAGTAAAACAAACTCGGCATTAGTTACAAGTTATGCTGACGATACAAATATTTCGTTAGTTGAAGACAACATGGATGCACTTCAAAAAACTGCTGGTCTGACCCCTCGGGACCGGTACGTTAAGGAGGTTGCGTTAATGGCCATGAATTGCAATTGGTCACCTCGTTCAGTGTCGAAAACTATACCGAGTTCATCAGCTGCTCGGACAGCTGCCCTAAAGAGAAATGCTCCAATTTCTGCTCTCTCATGGTTACGGACCATGCAGAGAAGATAATCCGAACTCCTGGCGACTTTACAGGCTGTATCCAGCACCATTCTGTCATGTAGACACTCCAAACTCAAAAGTCCACGGCTTCCCTGTTGTCGGGGGAAGTACAACCGTGGGACGGACGATTTGGGATGCAAACTCCTATAGAGATGCATAATTTTTCGGGTCTTTACGTCGAGTTGGTACAGGTCCTCCCGAGTCCACTCCACTACTCCAAACGAGTAGAGTAAGAATGGAACGCAAGCATATTTGTTGCAGCAACTTTGTTCTTCCCCGACAGTTCCGATGACCAGATCTGTCGAAGTTTGTGCTGATACTTGCCGCGGAGAGAGTTTTTCACTGCTGTTACCTCTTGCGAGTGGCGCTGTTCCACCCCGAGGTAAGTATACGTCTCTCCGGCATCCAGATGGTGTAGGATGCTTCCATCTACGAGCTGCACATCCTCTCCGTAGTCCCCGCATCGTCCTCTTTTGAGATGGACCATTGTACATTTGTCTATCCCGAATTTCATACCGATAGCATGCGTGTACTCTTCCACCACCCTCAAGGACTGATGGAGATCCTTCTCTCCAGAGGCATAAAGTTTAAGATCATCCATATAAAACAAATGGGTGGTCTTGTGCCTCCGGTTTCCGGGGGTGCCACAGTTATACCCTCGAGTATTTCTGAGCGTAACGGATAATGGCAATAGTGATATTCAGAAAATAAGAGGACTGAGGGAATCACCCTGTTTGGACTCTTGCTTGACCAGATGTTATGGTAAAGCGAGTTTGCCAAAGTGGTATCAGTTGTTCAATGCATCTCACTATTTTGTTGGGTACCGCAAGGCATCTGAGCAAATGCAAGATGAGCTCATGCGAAATTGTATCAAATGCCTTACGGTAATCGATCCAGGCCATAGTGGGGTTACGCTTATATTGTATCGAGTCCTGCGTTACACATCTATTATTATCAATTACATTGGGAATACATTTCAAAACAAAGTCAGTCAAAAAAAATCTGACTGAAGCTCACAAGACATTTCAGAAATATCAATAGGATTTTTTGTTGCAAAAAATCATGATAATTCAGTGGATCTAACATTCTTTACCCTAAAAAAATTCACTATCTCATTTAACGTTCATATCTATGAAAAATTTAAAATCTTCAATTGTTATCACATGGAAAGATCTACTGAAATCACAAATTCACAAATAGAGATGTGCGTGAATAATTTTTAATTGCTATTGGTTCTGAAGTACGTGGTTTCTTCATAAAAAATGTGCTTGCTTCTTCACTATAAAAAAAATTAGCTGGTCCGAAAATTTTGTAGGCTAACAAACAGATGGCGCCATAGTATTGTATACATTTGAATACATATGATATATTTTTCTGCCGATAATGTTCACAAAAGATTTGGAATGAATTCGGAAGTATTCAGACTGCGATTAATATGTGTTGAGTAATAAATATGCACCATAGTTGAAAAGTCCGTTCAGCTGTTCCACTCTGTATAATTTTCGATTGATATGCAAGTTATACGGATTTGCGATGCCTCATATCGACAACTTCTCCGTCAAGCTTCTGAATTCACGATGAAGGCAACTGTTTACAATTGTTTTTGTCCGTATGTTTTATGGCACCTATGAAAATAAACCCAATAATTTCACCGTCAGTGAATCCAGAGTTTGACGGAGAAGTACGACGTGTCTCCAGCACAATGAAACCCATTCATCTTCCTAAAACAAAACTCCACGAACCCGTAAATCTTGTCCGTTTCTTTCGTTGACGCGTCTCGTGAAATAACATCTGTAAAAATGTCATAAAGTGTGGTGCAACAGGATAATGTCGATGATCAACAGTAACCACATCCAGCCGACGATATCAGGGAGCGAATCTTTCTGTCCCGTCATCCAGAATTCTCCAGGGGTGCATAAAAAGCCGATCCGACTGCGGAATATAGTTACCAAAGCCGAGGCCTTCGATTCGCTGCACATAAAACCCTGTGAGGTGAGTAATTTTCAGTTTTAATTTTTGGTGTCAGGTGTGGGTTTTCCTGAGATGATAGTGTACCATGACCTCAAGAGTTATGGAACTGAATATCTTCAATATATTATGAAACGAAATGGAATAGCAAAAAAATCCTATGACAATAAGTTTCTTTGAACCTTGAATAACTGTTCTTTTGTTCTGTTGAGTCTTATTTTCATACTGTTAATGATTTATTGTGAATGATTGTTTTCATGCTCTGTATGATATCATCGCGTCACTAGTTTTTTTTATTATTTCCCGATCAAAATATGAAAAATATGTTGCAAAATATCAAAAATTTCACTCAGCTTTGGCTACGAAAATACAACTTGTCAATTAACTGACTGAAAGATTCGTCAATGAGTTGACCTCCTGGTTGCTGAGCTCGTTAATAAGTCATTGTGGAGCTCTTCTATGAGTAAACCTCCGAATTGCTTGACTAGTTGATGGGTCATTCTCCTGGTTGGATGACTCTTTAATGAGTCGCTTCCTGGCTGATAGATTTACTGGAGTGTTGAACTTCTGGTTGATGTTTTTGTTGGAGAATCAACCATCTGGTTGGTGATGACTCATTGATGAGTTCGTCAATGACCGAACTTCCGAATTGTTTGACTCGTTAACGAGTTGCCCCTCGGCTGGTGGGCTCATCAAAGAATCGACCTTCTGATTGGTGGACTTGTTGTGAAGTCGACCTCCTGATTAGTGAACTTGTTGAAGAGTCATTAGTGACCTTGGTAATGAGTCGAACCCCCTGAGTCAACCTCCAGGCTGCTCGATTTGTTAATGAGTTAACCTCCAGCTTTCTCGACTAGTTAATGAGTCATCCTCATAGTTGGTAGACTCGTTAACGAGCCGACCTTCTGGTCAGTAGGCTCGTAAATGAGTTGCCCTTCTGGGTGTTGTACCCTTCGACGAGTTGACCTGTTAGTTGGTGAACTCGTTAATGAATCATTGGTGAGCTCGCCAATGACTGAACTCCCAGGTTGCTTGACAGGTTAATTAGCCATTCTCCTGGTTGGTAGACTCGTTAATGAGTCCACCTTTTGGTTGATATGATCGTTAATGAGTCAACCTTCTGGTTGGTGTCCTCTTGAATAGTCGATCTCCTGATTGCTGAACTTGTTAATGAGTCATTAGTGAGCTTGTTAATGAGTCAGCCTCCCTGGTTGGTTAACTCGTTATAATGAGTCAACCTCCAGCTTTCTCGACTTGGTAGCGAGTCAGCCATCAGGTTGCTCAACTCGTTAATGAGTCATTTTCCTAGTTAATAGACTCATTGAAGATTCATTTTCCTGGTTGGTAGACTCATTAATGAGTCGACCTTCTGACTGAAAAATTCGTCAATGGGTCGACCTTCTGGTTGGTGTACTCGTTAATGAGTTGACCTTCTGGTTGGTGAACTTGTTAAGGAGCCGACCTCCTGGTTGGTTGATTCGTCAATGAGTCATTCTACTGATTGGGAGACTCGTTAATGAGTCCATCTTTCAACTAAAAGAGTCGTCAATGAGCCGACCTTCTGGTTGATGTACACTTCAGTGAGCTGACTTTCTGGTTGGTGATTTCATTGATGAGTCATTGCTGAGCTTGTCACAGAGTGAACCTACGAGTTGCTCGACTAGTTGGTTCATAGATTCGTTAATGAGTCGATCTACTGGTTGGTAGACTTGTCAATGAGTCTACCTTTTGGTTGGTATAGTTATCAAAGGGTCGACTTCATGATTGGAAAATTGGTGAATGATTCATGGGTTGGCTTGTTAATGAGTCATTGGTGAGCTATTCAATGAGCTAACCTCCTGGTTGGTAGACTCGATATTGAGCCCGGATGATCATAGTTACCATTTGACTTCTGGCCGTGAAAGATCAAACTTCGGGTGAGTGTTCATGTTAATTTATTCTGAAAAAGTTTTTTGATTTTATGTTCGCATTTGAGAATAATTTCTATTTTTGATATTTGGTTCGATTTCAAATAATTTGAAAATTGAGACTTGATGACCATTGATGAGACTTGAACCCAAGACAACTGTTTTCAAGTTCTCACTCCAAGTAGCGCTTATGAATTAGTAATACATAAAACTATGTAAGTTCCTAATAAATCCCATTTTTTGTTGAGTAACAAACTCCTCCAAAAGTTTCGTTCATTCATAGCATAATGTAATATAGTTTTCATGTATCTCAAATTCAATCTCCATTAAACGAAGACTTTTATGGCTGCTGTGCAGCATATCTCAATCTTTCAAACGTCCGTTATATTCCTACTATTGTGTATCTGCTCTTAGAAAACTCTACAATGCTTTTCTCATTGTGGAAATTTAATTCAGAATATTGCGACATCGGACGGTATTATCAATATTTTCATTCGGCCGAGAAAGCAAAGGATTTATTTACTCTATTCCCAGTGGATGAGACTGACTTTTTTTGCGAGGTTGCTCCATAGATACTGGTTGGTAGAGTCGCCTTTCTGAGTAAGTGAATATCCAAAAATATTTAAGTTAAAACCAGAAACCAAAGTCGGATCTCAAAATTGAAAACAGTTTTTGAACATCTAGCTAGAATTTTAAAGAACCTACATCCTACATAACTGCTGATGAAGATTGCCAGAATCCTGGATCTCATATCAGAGGAGTGAGAAGAAGAAACTCTTTGTTTCCTTGGTGGTTCTTGGAGAAAGAATTACGATCAGGAGTTGTGAAGTTTATTGCATCAAACCCTGGGGTAAGCCTCTATATTTTATTACTGATCAGATTGATGAATATTCCTATCGAGGGAACTGATGAGAAAGAAGTATTTTTTTCAATCTCTGACCCTCCGATATTTCTTATTCTATGAAAAGGAGAAGATTCACCTTATTCAAGATTCACCTTGGTCAAGTCAAGTCAAAAATGTTCAATCAAGCTTTTGGATATATTACAAAATATTTGTTATAGTGTATTTTGTGTGGGGCTCTGCTATAAGCTTATGCCTCTTCAGGGTTAGTAGATGTGTTGTCTTGTGTAATGATGTCTAATGTTGTGTTGTCTTATGCTGTCATGTGTTCCTCTTGTTTTTCCGTTGTTCCGTTAGAGTGGCCCGGGTCAATTGCAGTGGTCATTGGAATATGGGTACAGGTTATGAGGCCGGAGGTAAATGGCTTCCGATTTCAGCACCTTCCAGGACGTTGCTTCCGCTATCTGATTTCCAGTGGGTATTCCTCTAGGATATTCTGATTTTGCTCCGGCGGATCTTCCATTGCTCCGAGGAGTCTTGCTGGGGGAAACGGGAGCTTCTTCCTAGGTATCCTTCTGGGTCCTCCACGGGGAGTCCAAAAACTAAACAGTGTCCGTGCCCAATTGCTGTGAACGGCGGTGAATCGACATTTCACGGTCATCACGAACACTGGCGGATACAGCCGCAATATTTTCTCAAGTCCTCATTCTACGTATGCTTGTTGGTGGTTTAATGTCCAGTAATGTAAACTGGGTTCGAAATTCAGTCACAAGCTTCCGAATAGCTCCCTCAGTAGGCCGACGAAACTGCCCATGAATTGGACGAAGTGCACGACGCACTTTCTTCACCGAGCATGAATTTTGATAATAACATTCAATAATTTGCAGCGTTGTAAGTCGATTCATGGTTCAATTATGGACCAAACTGAACAAGTTTGACAATGACACAGGACACGATTCACGCGTGATCTGTCAAAAACAGTGTTGCCAAAAAGATAACAGCAAAAAAATGACTCATTATTTGAATTCTTCCCTAAATAGGTGTTGTTAATACTACAACTCTATATCCAAATCAATAGAAGTTGACATCTTTTCTAATTCCTTTGCAACCTTCACCATGTCTCTCAAATGTTCATACAATCACCATTTTCATATCTAACTATTGTAATTTGCAATGCACTCTTTTAATAACTGTTCATAACACGATATTGCATATTATTTATAACAATCAAATCATTCATTGTTATTTTGACCTCACCATTTGTGAATACTCTGTTTGGGTTTGTCCCGTTTTGTATTCCACTGAAAAGAAATAAAGAAATAAATAAACCTTCTTGAGAAGCAATACCTTCAACTGAATTCCTATAAAAATCGAAAGTCAAACTTTCCTTTCCTCCATAAACTCAAGGGCCAGTCATTTCTGCCTGTGCAATACTACTATTTTCTTACTGAAATGAGAAGTAGCGCGAGTACGGCATAAGTTAGTCAAATCCATCGTTCTTCTTGTTCCCTTCGACGATGCGATACAGAATAATTTCCCGATATTTCCAATTGGCATATAACGGATTCAGCGGTAAACACACACACACACATCAGAGTAATGATCCATATATCTCGAAATCGAATATCAAATCAGATCCTAGTGAAAATTCATGTTGACGTAGCGTAGGATTCTAAATATTTTCTTTGCGAAAATATATCGCTTCTGTATATCCCGGGGACGCGAATGTATCATCGACGTCTCCTTATGAGGGAGGGATGGTCCCCCGGGCAGCAAATGTTGACTTGGAACGCGGTTTTCATATTCTGAAATATATGCCAGGCAAGTTTAGTGCTGAAATGGATATGCTGAGAATACGGCAACTAGTCGTGATTTTTACAGCGGAGTGAAACAGTGTCTACTTGAGATGTTGTTTATCCTTTTGACTAAATTCCTCAAGGAAATCGCTGTATTCTTTTTTGCTTATCTTTTCATTGAAGTTAGACCTCGTATCTGACTCGTCATGTTGTTCCCCATATGACTAAATCACTTTGCCGCGGCTAGTTTACCTATTCAGCGCCAAAAGCTCACAAAAGCCTACCTGGAGGAACGAAACAAGTTTAATCAAAAGGGGTTTAGTTTTATGAGGAAATAATTTTTAGGAACGAAAGCTTTTGACTTTATATCTTCTTGAAGTGAAAACTTCTTATGGGAGGGTGGACCGATTCGTTACGTGAAGAGTTACAGCGCCAGTCTGCCTGTCTTCACTTTCTCACACTCATACATCAACGTAAGGT